ATATGACTTGAGTTGTGTTTTGGTATCAAAGCATTTCCGTCACTAGTTCATCGTGAGAGCCTAAGATCTCAGAAAATAAAACTGAACATATGACGAAAATTTCAGTGTTCATAGAGTATATGATAATCGACAAGAACATGTGTAATCTGTTTGGTAAAAAGCATGAGCACATATTCAGAGTCGAGACCGTTTTGTTCGAATAGGTAAAAATAGCTATTCTTTTATTGATATTTGCTGATTATCATCAGATTAATTTGCAATTGTTCGGACAACTTTCATTTTCGTCTAAAAATTTACTCATTGTCTCCCTCGAGGTTGAGTTAAAAGATGAAATAAATTATAACGTCATTTTTTATGCTTATTCACGTGCCTTTTTATGTTCTGTTATCATTTTACAAAGTAAGAACTTGTTTTCAACTATCCGGGTGTGAGTGTGACGATGAGTGTATTTCTTTTCTGCATGCACATCCTAACTCAAGTCATTATCAACAATAACAGCAGCACTCACAATCACATCCATACCCGAAAGGTAACACTATGTATACCGAACATATTGGAATTCAAATCATAGATAATATTACGTGAAGAATTAAATTTCAGGTAACAAATTGTTATAAGGTCATTTTTTGATAAGATGACTTCTGTCTTAAAGAGATCATATTTTTTCATCGAAATACATGCTTGAGTTTTCAACAGATCGAGTACTCTCTTTTGATACTGGAACTGAAGTCGAAGATGTTAGTTACTATTGATCATATACTTTGATGAAAATAATAACTGTTTCTTTATGATTGTCATTTTCTGCATCGATATTTAATGAATACTAAAAATGTTTGAGGGAGTTTATTGAATTGTTCAGTACATCGTTGAAATTTATTTTCTGTTTATTCATTGGAATCTCGTCTTGATTGAAATTCTCTATCTCAACGAAGAAAAATCATAGTTTTAGCAACGATTATTCATTTCTAGAAATAATTCTTACCGATGTTCATGATGATCGTTAACATGCATCACATATTACAACTCTCTAGTAAAAAATTGTTCCGCTTGTAATCGGATTATTGTATAACAAACTCAAAATTATAATCGATTTAGAAGATTTTCAGCCGTTTCTAATAGTTAAAATCTTCAAAGTCGATTATAATTTTGATTTTGTTGCACAATAATCCGATTATAATCGATACATGTTTCATTCGATGACTAGGATTTATACGATTCGTTTTCAAATATATTTAATTTATGTCAAATGACACTCTTATCTTCTACAATAGAAAATTCACGGCAAAACAATAAACGTCATAGATAACAGATAAATAATAGTTCTCTGATTGTACAATAGATAATTAGAATTTCGTCAAGAGGACTGTCACTATTAACGAACATTCTATAGACAAAGTTCGTGGCATTCCTATACAATTTGTAATCTTATTCTCATCATATAGTACTGCTGGTTTTTGTTTTCATTATTTTATTTATATCGACTTGAAAAAAAAAATGATTTGACTTCACAAGTTGTTGCATTGTTTTTTTGAATACTTTAAAAATTTAATGAACATGTTCATTTATTATTTTCATTTAAAAAATGGCATAGCAAGTCTAATTATTATTAAATTGAATATTTTTTTTTACTGAAGAATACGTACACAATCACCGGCTGATTGAAGTCTAATGACTATTTTCCATGGAAATGGACATTTATTTAAATCGATTAAAAGTTGTGCTAATCTTTTTGTACGATGATGTTGTAATTGAATTTGTTTATTATCACAATCTAATATTAATGTAAGTTCATCACCTGTTGATAGAATATTTCTATATTTAGTTGTTTGTACCTTTCCATTTATAATAGCTTCATTAAGATCCCACCAACCATAAAGAGAATTATTATAATTATAATTATTATTATTATTAGTCTGAGTTTGACCTGATCTACTAATATTTTCTAATGATCTAATAATTCCAAAAAATAAACGTAAATCTCCCATTTTTTCTATTCGAAAACGAATATGATGTTTTCCATTAGAATATCGATTAATACCATAAATAATTGGTTGTGTTAATATAGATGCTAAACAACAAGTAACAACAAGATTATCTTCAGATAGAATAGCTTTTCCATCAATATCTCCAAATTTTTCATTAATAACACAAAGTGAATCTTTAATATTATGAATACGATGTTCGACTGTTCGAATTACAGGAGTAGAAGGACGTTGAATTTGTTGTTGTTGTTGTTGTTTTTGTTGTTTGTTACAAATTCGAATTAAATGAATAGATGATTTCATATCATCATCATTAACGATAAAAATAGTTGATGGAATATCAAGATTTTTACGTAATTCTTTTAATTGTTCATTCCATCGTTTAAGATCATTTTCAGTAAAATCATCTGATTGTTGACATGAATTAAGTTCATTAGTTAATTTTTCTATTGATGTTTTTAAATCATTCTTTGTTCGATCAAGTAATTGTTGAAGATCAGTTCGAGCAGTTTCAGCTGCTGCTTGAATTTTATTAATTGATTCACGTTCCCATATATCAATACGATTTAAAAATGAATGTTTAGAACTTTCTTTTGATAAATCTCGTCGAAATAAATCATGTTCTTGATTAATATTGGTCATCTGTTGAGAAAGTTCATGACGATGTTCAACAAAATGTTTCGTACAAAATGATTGTTGACATCCATCACATGTAGTAACACCACTACCTTTACTACATTTAGCACATGGTTTTTTTGCGGTATTTGTTGCCATTTTTAACTTCAAGAAAAAAAAAAAAAAGAAATCTAAGTTCATACATTTTTTTCATAACAAGAAATCAACATACATTCTATGGTTATAACCTTCTTTTGAATACTTGTGAAAGAAGAAAGGAATATGTAGATTTACATTGAAAGAGTGAATTTATTTTACTTTTGTCTTGAAGTACTAGAAGAACGGGGAAAAAAAGCAATGCATGAAACATTATGAACACAAAGAATGAGAACAAGAGAGAGAGAGAGAGAGAAAAGATTCTTGTAACTGTGTAACAAGAAGATTGTAATGTTTGTTTAATAAAAATTGGAATAAATTCTTGTTTCGATGAACGATATAGTTTATACAAGAAAATGTATATTATCTATGTGAAATCTTGATTCATTGCAGCATTAAAAAAAAATTATATTATTTTAAAAAAGTTGAAAACAATCATAAGTTATTGATATCATTGAAAAGAATAGTAAAAGTTCAAATTACGATTACATATATTTATTGTAATCAATAAGAACAATTTTAGACATTTTCTTTATGTATATTACATAACAAAGGTTTGACGTGACTTATGACCACGACCATGATCGTGACTAAACTTTGGTCATAACCATTAAACTAGCCATATATTCTGTATTTCTGTCAACTGCTTAGATGTTTCATAACACAAATGACATCATTTTTTTTTTGTGCATAGATCCAATGTTTGCAACTACTTTTACATACAATAACTGACGTACATAAATCATGCATTACATTATCATAATTTATATTTTGAACAATAACAATACTAAAATAAAGTCAAACGTTAGATTTATGATCCTTTTTATTTTATTTCGAAAGATTAATAGGAATAGAAATTAATTATTATATTAGATTTCTCTTTAACAATATCTTTCAAATTACAACTGAATTGTCCATTATTCGCTTGATTAGATTAATTTTGTTCTTGAATATTAAATTGATTTTATTTCCTTCCTTTTCACTTCAACACATTCTCATCGTTTTAATTCATAGAATCAATAGATTTGACCTTCGTCAATATACATATAGTTTACATGAAGACGTTCTAATAAACTAAAATCAATTGTTGTAATTCATAACTGCAATTTTTCAATATAAAAAAAAAAAAGATCAAAAACTTTAATCGAAGTTTGTTTTTTAGATAATCTTCTATAAAATTCTATGCATTATAAACACATTTTCTGTTGATTAATATTCAAAAAAAAAATTTATCATTAAAAGAATTATATTTATTTATTCAATATTTTATAATAAAAACAATAATGACTAGATTGAATATTCTATTGAATAATATGTATACAATCACCATAACTAGGTAATTCAACAACTATTTTCCAAGGAAATGGACATAATATAATATCAATTGATAATTTTAATAAACGTTTAGTTCTACAATGTTCTAATTCTATTTGTTGATCATCACACTTTAATATTAATGTTAATTCATCATTTTTTTCAATATGATTTTTTTCTTTATTTCTTTGAACTTTACCATTAACAACAATACTATTAAGATCCCACCATCCATAAAGTGATTTATTATCTATATCTGTTGACATAATTCGACTGACTTTTTCTAATGAAGTAATTATTCCAAAAAAGAAACGTAAATCTCCTCGTTTTTCAATTTGAAAATGAATATGATGTGTTCCATATGAATATCGTTTATAACCATAAATAATTGGATATTTAGATAAAGTTCGAAAGCAATATTTTGCCATAAGACCATCATTTGATAATGCAGCACCTCCATCAATTTCATGAAATTTTTCTTTTAGAGAATAAGTCTTATCATCATCATTTGTCGAATCAATTGTTGATGACGATTCAAGTTTTATATGAAGTTCTTCTATTATTGTTTCATCCTAATCGATAAAATTCATATTCGTATTTTGAATTGATAGCAAGGTATATTCACTTACTGTAGTCATTATTGTTTTTTCAAAAAAAAAACAAAAAAAAAACGAAATGACTGACTCTGATTTGAGAATGTTTTTTTGCAATCATCATACAGAAGAAAAAGAAAAAAGTAATTAAACTGTAGAGAATTTTAATATGTAAACGAGAGACCTCTGTTCTATGAGATTGACATAAGCATAATTGGTTCGTTTATGTAAAAGACGCCAAAACAAAGACGAAATCTTTAGTAGAAATTAAAGATTTATTACTTTCATTTCGTTTTTTAACAAAAGGATAAAAAAGATGTTCGGCAATAAATCAGTGTATATGTTAACAATTGTTTGGAATGAAAAACGTTTTGTTGAATCAAAATCAAAACGATATGCAGCTCGACGATGTCTATATCGAGCAGCAAATAGTAAGTTTAATGAAAAGAAATAAAATAAATATTTTCAATCTTTTTTTTTAGTTCAATTAAATATTGAATTAAAAAATCTTACAAATCAAAATAATGAAATTCTTCATGAAATAAATCGATGTGATAATGATTTAAAAAAATATAATGAAAAACTTCAACTACTTGATAATATGACACAATTAGCAACACAATCACTTGAAGTTTATTTTCAAACAGTAAAAAAACAAAATTTCTTTAAATAAAAAAATCTTTCATTTTATTATTATTAAATTTTCTTTTTTGTAGCGTATGGAAAATTTACGTACATTTGTTAATGAACAATGTCGAATTATTTCTGATGGTATACAAGAAGAAGCTGATCATTGGAAAGAAATTCATGCTATGTTACAACAGTAACAAAAAAAAAAAACATTATGAAAGTTTCTTTTTTGGTTTTTTTTTCTTCTGTTTTATAGAAAATTAGTCGTACCAGGTGATTTACGTTCATATGGTGGTGGAAATGGTTTACCTCGAAATATTAAACAAAGTCCAGATTTTAGTCGAATTATTGAAGAAGATGAAGAAGTTGATGATGAAGAAGAAGAAAAACAGAATGATGTATCTATTTTATTGGTAAAAATTTATTTTAATTAAAAATATTTCAACATATAAATTTTCTTATTTTGATTTAGCAAGCACGAACTTTAACACCATTGATTACTCAAACGTTAAAGAGTAAGAAAGATAATAAGTAATTGAATATAAATAAAAATTACAGAAGTTAAAATATATCTATTAGAAAATTCAGAAGCATAACTCAGCATAAAATGGCTCTGCGTAGACAAGTTTTTAGAAGCAGGATGAACGAACTACTAGAAAAGAAGTTACTGAGATCAAAATAAATTAGTCTCGTACATCTTTAATCTGTACTTTTAACTACTAGAATTGATTGATTTTATGTTGAGTTAATGTTTTTCTTTGAATCTATTTTCATAATATTTTTCTAGAAGCTCGTTTACGTGCTTCAAAATTATTACAAGATATTTCAATGACTGTTCCTTTTCAATTAAATATGTCAACTACTGTTCATGAAGAAACATTAAATGACGAACCACAATCACTAACAAAAGCAAGAGTAAATCATATGACATTACGTGATGTATCAGCTATTGAAAAAGAAACAGAAATGGAAACAGATATAACAAATTCTGATTTATCTGTTTCACTTTTACCATTTATTCCAACAATAATTAATAATGATGAAGAAAAAAAAGAACATAATAAATCAATATGTTCAACAATATCAGATAAAACATTTGTTAAAAAATCTTTAAAACCATTAACATCTGAAGAAGAAACAGATGATGATAATGATGATGATACTAATGAACATACAGTTGTTGAAGAAAGTCTTATTGTTGAAAGTAAAGAAAATATTCGTCCATTATTATTAACTGCTGATCAATCAATTCGTATTCGTGATCGACAATCACAACAAGAAAAACTTTCTTTATCTAATAAATCTCTTGAAGAAAAACCAAAAATTAAACAAGAAAAAGTTAGTTTTCGTGAACTAATTAAAATTCGTATGTACAAGAAAAATTTATATATATATTTTTTTTTCTATATCATATTTCTTTTCCTAGATAATAATACTGAACGAAATCGTTTAGGAAAAACATATTTATTAAATAATAATACATTTGATGCTGAAAAATCAGATTATATTCGACCAACAATTGTTATCAATGAAGATACTTCGAAATTATCACCTATAGCATCGGCTGAATCGTAAAATATTCTATTTTAATCTTTTTTTTTCTTTAAATAATTGTCACATATGTAGAGAAGAAGAAGAACAGCAACAACAAACAAATACATCAAGAAGAACAGAGAAAAGATCAATTGATCAAGTATTATTATCAACATCAACATCTTCTAATAGAAATAAAACATTAAAAAGTCCAATTGTTACACAATTACCACCACCTGTACCAACAGGAAGTCTTGAAAATAGTAATAAACGACGAACAACTCGTCGAACAACAATTCGATTACCTCAAGATAATCTAAATGGTAAAAGATTGATAATTAAAATTTTTATTAATATATATCTTTTGACTTTGATTAGTACCACCACCACAATCAATTGAAATACCAGTTAAAACTCGTTATCCAACTCGATATTCAACTCGAATAGCAGGAACAATGATAACTGAAGAAACAATAATATTAACAACAACAAATCGACGAACAACACGTCTTACTTCAGAATAGAAGAAGTATTGAGATTTTTATTGATATCTTTCATCAAATTAATGAATGAGATTCAAACAAACAACAACAATAACAATGAAAATACGAACTTTTTTTTCTACTTTTTTTTTTCTTTCTTTTTGCACTTACTTTTGACAATAATCGGAATAAAATTTAGTTCTCTGTTACGAAAGTTATGCAATGTCATAGAATTATTTTTATTTTTTTATTACTATTAATTATTACTGTCAATATGTGATTGAAAAATAACAAAAAGAAAAATTATAACTCCATCAAAAAACTTACTCTCCGACTCCGAAAGACCCAAAAAAAGAGTGCTAGTCGTCAACTAAAAGAATCCAAAAAAGAAGAACGAGTATTGAAGAATTCTTTTAGATATTATACGAATAAATTATGGAATAGTTTTCTCTAGATCTCACAGTGTGCGTTTTTCGCATGGCAGACGGACATGTAATTTTTGTGCTTGGAAACGGGTTTGTATTGCTGAGAACAAAGTTTGAGAGAATTTGGATCATAGTTAAGGATGACGTGCTCATTTTACTAAACTTTGGATTGATAAAATGGTCACATTCGTTTTTTCATCTCATGTCCATTCGGATGCTGACTGGAATTAAAAAAACTTGGTCCCGTATATCTCTACTTAGGACATACCTAAAGTCAAGTAAACATTAAAAAAGAAAAAAAGTTTCTTTCGATAAATTTTCTTTTTCAAAGCATCAAATATTAGTTGTTAAATTTTAATGATGATTTTTATTGAAGTTTTTATTTAATTATTTATATTAATAAAAAAAAATCGATATATAACGTTTATATGTCGTTCTTAAAGTTTTTTTTATTTTTTAATTTTTGTTTTACTTGTTCAATTATTCATTCAATTTAAGATTTCGAACAATTTGAACATATAAATCCACGTTGATCTTTAAAAAATTTTTTCGAACCAATTGATCGATGACATTTAACACATAGAAAACATTGTTCATGATATGGTTTATCATCAAATATAGTATATTTTGTATCAAATGGAATAGATTTTCCACATTTATTACATCGTTTAGCAAATAATAATTCATTACAATTAACACAATATGGTTGTAAATTATTAGCACAAAGTAATTTTTCATTGTCTAATAATTTATGACAATGTGAACATTTAAAACATTCAACATGATAATCTCGTGTTTCATATGTTATACCCGATGATAAAATAGGTTTTCCACATGAATAACAATTTTTAGTATCAATTTCACATTGACGACACCATGGTTTATCATTATGTAATGTAAATGTTTGTGATGGATTTAAACGTCTATGACATAGAACACATGTAAAACATTCAGAATGAAATGAACGATTATTAAAATTAATACGACTATGAACATTTGGTTCAATTGGTTGTCCACATTCCGTACATATAATTATTGGTGATGATGAATAAACTTTTTGAATACAATTTCTACACTAAAAATAAAAAACGTATTCAAAATGATTTTTTCTATTAAGAAATAATATTAACTGTAAATTTTGTTCCTTGAGAATTCATTGTAAATGTTCCATTTATTGGTTGAGCACATTTTTCACAACAAAAACATTCATAATGATATTCTTTATCATTAGCTTGAGTTATTCGAGAACCAGCATGAAATGGTAACATACATGCAGCACAACTAGATGAAATTTTCAATAAAACAAAAACAAAAAAAATAAAAAAATATTTTTTTGTGTTTTTTATTTATTATAAGTTTTTTTACTTACAATTTAATTTCTCCAGTTTTATTTTGATTTCCAATAAGAAATGAATCATTAATATGTCCTTTATCATTTTTATAATATGCTTCTAATTCATCACGATTTAATGTTTCAGCAAGTTTTTCAGCAAAATGAACTGTTTTTTGTTGATTAAGTTTTTTTTCTTGATTTTGTTTTTGAAAACTTTGTTTATCATGACGTTTAAAACATGATGTACAATAAATTTTATTTTCTTGTTCATCTTCATATATTTCACCTTCAATTAATGATTGACATTCATTACATTTTAAACAATTATGATGATATTCTTTATTATTATATTTTTTTGTTATATGTCGAGATGTTGGATTAAATGGTAGACCACAACCACCACAACGTAATACACTAGAAAATTTATTTATAAATGAATATTAGTATGAATGTATTCTGAAAAAACAAAAATTTTTATTTAGAGATACATAAAGAGTCAATTTTCATAATTATTAATTTAATGATGATTTTAGTACATTTTTTTCTATCTAAATATCTTCATACAATATCTACTGAATTATGGAAAAATGATTTCTCACGATTCTTATCAAGCTTCATATTAGAGATGTGCAGAGTTATCCTGTACATTTCTATTCCGTATGAATATGCTTTTTTATGTATATAAACCCATGCACCGTATGACTTATCAGATATCGAGTATCTAATAGATTACTATTAAGTTATAAACATGATTTTATAGGAACAATCATCTGTTGTCAATTTTACAAGAGACTTTTCTCAACTGATAGATCGCGTTTGTATCAAAACTATGTGCATTATGTAGAACCAAATGAACTGTAAATATCCTGAAAAAGGTTCAGACTCTTAGCTGATTATTGCCGAAATACTGCACTTTTACGATAGGTTTTAAATCGATACTGCAGTTTTCCTGGAGAAAACTATCTATAGAACAATAAGTCAAGAGCCCGAACTCTTTTTTTTTTTGGATGTTCAAAATTCGTTTTGATTTACATGATGCACATAATTTCGTTCTAGAAGCGAGTTGTGAAACTTTTTTTATTAGTTGAAAATAAAAATGATTCATTACCATCTTATAATTGTTAGTAAAAAAAAAAACATTTAACTCTCGAAATGTAATTGTATGCAAAATAATACAATGCTTTTTTTTGACATAGTCATAAAGCTTTTTTTTTGACATTAACAAATAAATTTTTTTTATCTTTGATTTGATAAAAAAAGTATAGTTTTGCAAAAATCTTATTTGAAATACATACTTATTTTTTGATTCGGTACTATTCGATTGAGAATTAGTTGCTGATTTTGTTTTTTGCATATGAATACATTCTCGACAAAGTGCTTCTCGTTCAAGTTCATCTGGTGAAAATGATCCATCATAAGGTTTTGAACATTTATCACATGATAAACAATCAATATGATAAGTTTTCTTATTAATTGTTACTGTATCTTCAGTACCATAACGAAATGGTCGTTCACATTTAGCACAACTAAAACGAGAAAAATTATTTTTTTTTGTTTCAAGAACGATTTCAAATTTTTACCTCATCTTATTACATACACGCACACAAAATAAAAGAACTGTTAGTTTTACACGAGAGAAAGTCTATTAAAAAAAGTAATGCATCGCATTTTTACCTATTTTTTTTTTTTTATTCAACGCCTGCGCTGATAAATAAAGAACAGAGTAAGAGTTTTCTTTTTTATGTTCTGTTTCTTTTTCTTCCTTTAAATTCATTCTCATGTCAACAGAAATATATGAAGTTATGATTGACGAAATGGTCTAGCGTTGACAAAAGGATTATAAATATATTTAAAGCCTAGCATAGATTGAGAACTAATTGCTTTTGAATCAAATTGTTGTTTACTATCGGCAACCATTTTCTAAAAAACAAAAACCATTAATTTAAATGAAATGAATAGAAAAATTATAATATACTTTAGCTTTTTGAAAATGTTCGAGAATATGTTGTAGACGTGGTGTTCTTGCACATTCGTTTTCGGTACCTGGATACGGTTGATTAGGATCTATAGAAGGCATACCTCTAACAAAATATGATAGAGAAGAAATCAGTTTTTTTTTTAAAAATATTGTATTATTTCCAATTATAACTTACAAATATTCATGTGGTACTGTAATTGCTATCATATATTCTACCAGTTCATCAATAGAGATTTCAGGCTAGATTATAGAATATAATAAATTTTAATATGTTACTTTCAATGAATTATATTATTACATTTAAGAGAAATAGTTCGTTAGCTATGAGTTCTAATACACTATTAGATATTTGAAACTAAATGAATTGGATTACATTCGGTTTTTTTTTCTTTTGTCAATTTTTATCATACATTTTTCTGTGGTTTATTTTGATAAATACATTTAATAAACGTTGTATAAGATTCTAGAATATTTTTTATTATGATTTGTCGTTCTTCATTTGTTTGATTTTTTGATTTTATATATTTTAATTGACGTCTTGAAATAACTGGCTAATGAATACTTATTACACTCAAAAAAAAACATTTTCTATCGATAAATACAGCTTACTCGATAGATTTTTTTCTGATGAGAAACTATTCTGAAATATTCATATGATGTAAAAATGGAAATGTTAGATATTATTTTTTTCTTACTTAAATGAATCATGTTTCTAAATAAATATAGAAAAAAAACGAATAAATATCTTAAAAAAAGAGAAGATAAAGCTAAATAACACACATCAAACATAATATCATAAGCAATAGATGGTAATTGACGACGTTCATTTCGAACTTGATTATTTATAGACAATTCATATTCAATTTTATTTGGATCTATCTGATTATGTTGTAATCGACCAAAATAAAAAGAACCATAATCTTGATTAGTTGTTATGAAACGATCATCGAATTCATTATGAGATTGTTTCATAGTTCAATTTGAACGAAAATATTGACAAAATGCTGATGGCGCTTATATTAATATTGTCTTATCATTACTGTAATGGATCATCAGTTATGTTTCATTATTATTGTATTCTTATTTTTCATTAAACATACAAAGAAATTGTAATAAGATTAAGTCATATATGACTACGAAAGTCTTAGTTACTGATGACTATAAACCAAACAATCTATTTTTTTATATTTATTTCCTCGACTGAAGGGAGGGTCATATGAAAAAAATAGTTTGTCCGTTTGCTTGTCATCGGATCAATGGTCAATAAACATCAGAGGTGAAGTTCATTTAGACGTAAGTTCTAAAG